GGAATGAGGAAAGAACCTGGGCTAGGAGCTGAAGTTTGTGATCTGGGAGGAAGGAGGGTGGCAGCCAACATGTATTAGCCGGAGCTATCTTAACCATCTTGTTTCACCTGCAGGAAAAAAGGGAAAAAAAAGGCCCAGCTGGGCAGTGGTGGTACACACCTTTAATCCCAGCATGCAGTAGACAGATTACTGTGAGTTCAAGTCTAGCCTGCTCTACAAAGTGAGTTCCATGACAGCTAGGGCTGTTACAAAGAAATCCTGTCTCAAAAAAACAAAAGAACAAATAAAAAAATGGGAAAATCGAAGGCAAGAGAAGTCCAGGGATTATCCAAGGTTTGCTGGCCAGTGGCCAAAGTCAGGATATAAACCAAGACTGCCCATACTTCAAAGAGAGTTTCTTAGCATGTGCGACTTTCAGTCAAATTCCCCATACCACCAAAAACAGAGTCAAACCACCAAAGGCCAGAGCTCGTCTAGTGGCTGCACCCCCAGCACTTGTGGGGGGAAGTGGGTACGAAAGGATCAGGAGTTGGAGGTTACCCTTGGCTACCTAGAAAGTTGGTGGCCAGCCTAGCAACTTGAGACTCTCAAATCCCAACCAAACCAAACAGCCTGACTCCAAGTCTCAGTAACCACTACCCCAGCTTCCTCATCCTCCTGATGGTTTGCTTATAACGCATTCTTTATCCATGTTCAAAACAACTGTTTGGGGCAGGGGATGGCTTGGCAAAGCTCCCCTTTGCAAACCCAAGGACCTGAGTTCAAACCCCAGAATGCACATGAAAATCTTGGTCCTCAGGAGGCAGAGACAGGAGATTCTGACTCTTGGGGTAAGCTAGTCTAGCCTAATGAGCTCAGGCCATGCCCATGAGACCTGTCTCAGTGGAACACTGAAAGTTGTTCTCTGGGTTTTGTACACACACACACACACACACACACACACACACACACACACACACACACACACACTTGCTCAGGAATTAAAAAAAAATAAGCCAGTAGTGGTAGCACATGCCTTTAATCCCAGCAGATGCAGGCAGATCTCTGTGAGTTCAAGGCCAGCCTGGTCTACAGAATGAGTTTCAGGTCAGGTTCCAAAACTACACAGAGAAATCTTTTCTCAAAAAACCAAATTACAAATAAAAAAAATAAAGTATATTTTTGTTTGGCATTTGAGGACATGGCAGGTCCAACGGACTTGGTGTCTGAGTTCTGTCCACCACTGCTGTCTTCTCAGATGACCTGGGCAGGAGGGGAAAGGAAAGGGATACTGCAGGGGTCCTAGTGTCCCGGGGCCGAGCCCTCATGCTCGCCTCTGGCACAGCCTTAGTGCCACGCCCCTGTGTCCATGGCTTGTGGCTGCCACTGTCACTGAAGGTGCAACACTCAGTGATGTTTCTCCCCTTTGTAATGAGTCATTTTTCCTTGAGTCCCCCATAGTTAGTGGGGAACCCCTCTCTCCATTTCAAGAAAAAAAAAGCATATTTACTCAGAAAATCTCAGCTCTCAGTGGATGAACTTTCCATGGTGTGGGGACTACCCTGTGGTGTGGGGGAGTCTCCATTGCTGGCGATACTTGAGGCCTGGGTGTTTCTCTGAAGGGGCTTCCTGTAGGAGGCAGGGGTTGGGGCGAGGCCTTTACAGGTCTTCTCACTGTAGGCTTCTGTGAGTCACTATGAGTTGAAATCTCACCTTTGAATGAGGATCAAACGTAGGATACCTGAGAACTTTGGGGCAGACTAGACTTAGGTCCAAAACCTGCCTCACTGACGCAGTATGGTGTGCCTGAGACGGAGGACGCTTGAACCCAGGAGTTCAAGGCAAGACTGGGCAACAGAGGCCTGCCTGGCAGTGGGAACTATTCTCCTTCTCAAAAACAAACACAAACCAAGCTTGGGCCGGTGAGATGGTTCCGCAAATAAAGGCACTCACCAGCAACCCTAGTGGCCTGAGTTCAATCCCCAGAAGCACATAAGAGGCGGCCAACTTCTGCACGATGTCTGCTGGCCTCCACTTGCTATGGCATGCGTGCCCGCACATACATCCACACGATAATAAACACATGCTTTACACTGAAGGCGGCAGAGCCACTTCCTGGCTTGGACACAGGGGTCACATCCTCACTTGACCTCAGTTTCCTTCTTCTAAAACCAAGAACACCTACCTCATGAGACTATTGGGATTTTTTTTTTAAATGAGTCAGGCTGGCTTCAACTTTGCCACGTGGCTGAGGATGACCTTGAACCACTGATCCTCCTGCCTTTACTTCGTGTTGAGTTAGAAATGGAACCCAGAGCTTTGTGCATGGGAGGCAAGCTCTGTGCCACCTGAGCATCTCGGCTCTCTGAGTGTGACATCAGTGCCCTGCCTGGTGTGAAGTGTCACTCACTCAGTCACACCGCTGACAGTTCTCCAGCCAAAGGCCAAGCCACAGACTGACAGGCCCTTGGCTGACCTGTGACTACACAGTTGAGTGAAGGGATTACATTTATGTGTTGAGGTCCTTCATGTTTGAATGTAGGGCTGGAGAGATGGCTCAGAGGTTAAGAGCACTGACTGTTCTTCCAGAGGTCCTGAGTTCAATTCCCAGCTCACAACCATCTATAATGAGATCTTGGATGTCTTCTGGCATCCAAGGCTGAATGCTCTATACATAATAAATAAATCTTGAATGTTTAGCACAGGCAAGAAGCCAACCCTTCCTCTATTTTTGAGGTATTCTTTTTGTGTTTTTTTACTCTTAGAAAACACTTAATTGGGGCTGGCTTACAGTTTCAGAGGTTTCGTCCGTTACCATCAGGGCTGGAAGCATGGTGGGATGCAGGCAGACATGGTGCTGGAGAAGTAGTGAGAGTTCTGCAAGTGGATCACAGGCAGCGGGAGGAGAGAGGAGGCATTCATGGAAAGTATGGCACAGGGGCTGGAGAGGTGGCTCAGTGGTTAGAGCACTGGCTGCTCTTCCAGAGGACCCGGGTTCAATTCCCAGGACCCCCATGGCAGCTCACCCCTGTCTGTATAACTCCAGTTCCAAGGCATCCGACACTGTTACACTGGAACATGTAGGCAAAGACACCAGTGCAGAGAAAATAAAACTAAAATCTTTTTTAAAAAATTTATTTATTATGTATACAGTGTTCTGTCTGCACGTAACCCTGCAGGCCAGAAGAGGGCACCAGATCTCATTACAGATGGTTTTGAGCCACCATGTGGTTGCTGAGAATTGAACTCAGGACCTCTTAGCCACTGAGCCATCTCTCCAGGCCCCAAAAATAAAATCTTAAAGAAAAAAAAAAGACGGTACACAAATGGGCAAAAAGCAAGAAATGCTCAGGAACCACGGGGCAGTGGAGGTGGCTTGGCAGTTTAGAGCATGTACTGCTCTTCCACAGCGCCTGAGTTTGATTTCCAGGATCCACATCAGGTGGCTGAAAACTTTAACTCCATTTCCAGGGAATCCAGTGTCCTCTTCCGGCCTCCATAGGCACTGCACATACACTGGTGAAGATACACACACATTTAAAAAAGGAAAGATGCCGGGCGTTGGTGGCGCAGGCCTTTAATCCCAGCACTTGGGAAGCAGAGGCAGGTGGATCTCTGTGAGTTCGAGGCCAGCCTGGTCTACAGAGCAAGTTCCAGGACAGCCTCCAAAGCCACAGAGAAACCCTGTCTCAAAAAACCAAAAAAAAAAAAAAATATATATATATATATATATTGTGCCAGTCGGGCATTGGTGGTATACACTGGGATCTCGCCAAGCCATCATCAGGCAACTTTCTATTTCTTTTCTTCTTTTTTTTTTTTTCAAACAGGGTTTCTTTATGTAGCCCTGTCCTAGAACTAGATCAGTAGACCAGGCTGGCTTTGAACTCACAGAGATCCTCCTGCATCTGCTGGGATTAAAGGTGTGTGCCACCACTGCCCAGCTCTATTTTCTGATTACTAGGAAAGTTCCCGATTTCCACTATTTGCCAAGGAAAGGGACTTTCTAACAATTACAGCCTTTGACTCCAGACCCCAATAATCTCAGAATCCTGTGACAATGTGGCTGGCTGAGGGAGCGGGGGCAGATCTGTGCAGCCCATGGTATTCTCAGAAGTAGGAAGCACCTTCAGACTCTTCTGTGGGTTCTGCTCTGCCACTTAGTTGTGTCCTTGGGTAGGTCAGTCTCTGGCTTTAATTTTGTTTTTTTTCAGGACAGGGTTTCTCTGTGTAACAGCCTTAGCTGTCCTGAAACTTGTTCTGTAGACCAGGCTGGCCTCGAACTCACAGAGATCTGCCTGCCTCTGCCTCCTGAGTGCTGGGATTAAAGGCGTGCACCACCAACGCCTGGCCTGGGCTAAATCCTTTTAAGAGCTTGCTCTGTTCAGATGCTCAAATCTGGCCTGCAAACCCCGCCCCCTGCCCAGCCTCATCTTACAAACTCCCAGGATAGAGTATTGTCCTCCTTGGGTCTGCTCTAACTCTCCTGTCCTCCACGGTCCTTCTTAGCATTCAGCTCTCAGCTTCTGGGTCTCTCTCCACAGCTGTCTCCCTCCCTGACCCAATCTTTGGAGTAAGACTTGGCTGCATGAGAACATGCCATCCCCTCTCCCAGCCTGTCTTCCATCAGTAAGATGGAGCATCTATTTGATAGGGTCGGTTTTTTATTTTTTCAAGACAGGGTTTCTTTGTGTAGCCCTGGCTGTCCTAGAACTCACTCTGTAGACCAGGTTGGTCTTGAACTCAGAGATCCGCCTGCCTCTGCCTCCTGAGTGCTGGGATTATAGGCGTGCACCACTACTGCCTGACGGTTAAGAAAAGTGAGACCGGTGGGTGTATTTCAGGGACAGAGCACTATGAGGGGCTGCGTTCAATTCCTAGGATCACCGAGTAGAGGAAGGAGGGACTCTCGCATGCTCCCCGAATGACCTGTGCTCCAAGCAGGTGGCTAAAGTGTCCCTAGCCTGTTTCCTGTCACTACCCAAGTTCCCAATCGGGATAGAATGGAAGAGCCCACGCTCTGACTGGATTGTAAGTTTATTAGAAAGGCCCTGGACAGATGAACCCTGAGTTACCAGCTGAGGAGGAAATGAAAAAGCCCTCGTCCCCCGTGGTCCACTCCCTGGTCTCCTGTGAACTCTGTCCAGTGGCAGACAGGAAGTCCGCTGAAAAGTGCTCTCTGTCTCCTCTCCACGGGGCTGTCCGACCCGACTGCAGGGGCCCATTGTGGATGGGCAATGTGGATGCTGGTGCCTGGAGCCAAGAGCTGACAGGGCATCATCCTTGGCTCTAGCAGAAAGTGGTTCTAGAACCCCAGAACAGAATGGAGAGGAGCCGGCTGGGGACCAAGTTCTGCGGAATAGCCAGTGGGTGACTCTGAGAGGCAGCACTGGGCTGTTTGGAGGCGCGTGTAGATGGCTCCCCAGCCCACAGAGGGGGCAGCGCTTAGGGGAGGGCCCCAAAGCGGGTCAAGGGAATCTTAGCCACAGTCTCCATGGCCCGGTGCTCCTCTTGGGACTGCAATGGCTAGAAAGGCAAATGGATCTTGTAAAAATCCATGGTAGATGACGCCATTTTTTTCCCTTAAAAAAGTTTGTACAGTGAATGGATTTCACACACGGAGCTCGAGCCCAGAAGAGTCCATCCTGGGGAAGAAGGCACTTCACACCCTCGCTTGGGTGATCTGGGCTGGCTACTTCCCGGGTCCTTTCGGAGGACTCCACTTCACTTGGTCCTGTGACCCAGGCCTGCTCCCTCTGGGGAGGACTCTGCCTCCAAGGAGTTTGCACTGTGGTTCACAGGGTGGTCGATGGAAGCTTCCTCACCCGCCGCTGGGCTAGGATAGATGACTCAATGGGCTTCAGCTGGGGGGTGGGTTTGGAGCTATTGAGTGCAGAATATGTAGCTGCCATGGCGCCCTAAGAGAGAGGGTAGGAGATGAAACCATGGGGGGGGCAGATAAAACACATGAGCCCCAGGGTCTGGCCCGCCCAGCGCTGTTCCTGGCCACTGGTTCTCCCTGGGACACGAGAATACAACGGCACTGTCGCATGTCTGTCTGGGACTCCCTTGGGGGCTGGGCTGTGCCTTTTGCCACATCTCCTGGTTTGGGCACAGACACAGAACTGCCTGGCTCTGCCACTTCAAGCCTCTGTGGTCTGAGGCCGCCCCACCCGTCAGGTTCAGCAGCCCCGGGCATGCAGGGCACCTTCACAAGCTGCAGGTCTTGGTGGGACAACTGGCTCTGGGGAAGCTTGTCTTTCTGGGTGATCCACGGGTGCTGCAGGACCTGCTTGGCTGTGAGGCGCTGGTGGGGGTCCACATGAAGCATCTTAGACACCAAGTCCTGGAGACACAGTGGGCAAGGAGGCGAAGGGTGGGCACTGAGGGAGCCGGCAGTTGTGGCCCCCGGGCGCCTCACCGATGGCCAACGACCGGGAGACAGGAGTCCAGCCACCTCTGGCCTGGGCCCTTATAAAAGCCCCGGCAACCCATTCCTCATACAACCCAAGCCTTCCCCTTACAGCCCCAGGAGCTTCCTTCCATCTTTGCTGCTGCAGGCATTTGAGGATACCTCTCTCTTCCTTTCAGAAAAGCCACACGAAAAGGTGAGAATTGGCTAAAGACTCGTAGGTCAAAGAGACACAGGAGTAGCATGAATTCTAATAGGTCATAATAAATAAAAGCCCGCAGTCAGATACAGAGGAAAACGCTGAGATCAGACAGAAGAAGGAGCCTCACCTTCACCTCACTCGCTTCCCAGGGGGAAAACAGAGTTCCTGTTTCCTCCAGCTTATATCCCTTTCTCTGCCCAGCCATCTCACTTCCTGTCTGTCTGTACAGACCTCCAGATCTCTATGGTTAGCTGGTGGCAAGCTCCACCCTCTGATCTTCAGACAGGCTTTATTTAAGGCATCGAGATATCACCATACACAGGTTCAAATTCGACTCTTTCTGGGGTTGAGATGCAGCTGAGAGGATGAGAGTTTGCCTGGCATGCGTGAGGTGCTGGGTTCCACCCCCAGTGTGAGGCAGAACAAAAACTAAGAGAAAAATCCTTGAAAAAAACATGCCAGGCATCTTAATCCCAGCACTTGGGAGGCAGAACCAGGGGGACCAAGAGTTCAATACCAGCTTCGGCCACATAGACTTGAAGGCTGGGAGAGACCGTCTTCAATGTAAAAATCAAACCAGACAAGCTCAGTGCTCACCACTCTCCCCGAGGCCTGGGGTTCGGTTCCCAGCACTTGTTAGGAGGCTCACAACAGACGCAAACCCAGCTCCAGGGGCCCTGTGCCTTCTGGCCTCTGGGGGCACCAGTACTCACATGCACATTCCTGCACACATACAACTAAAAATAAAAATAAGGCTGGGTGGTGGTGCACTACTTTAGTCCCAGTACTGGGGCGGCAGAGAAGGTCATATCTGGATGAGTTTAATGCTGGCCTGGCCTACAGACCTAGTCGTAGGATATCCTAGACTACATGGTGAGACCAAACAAACAAAACCAAACTCTGAAACAGTAACAGACCCTCAAACAAATAATAACCCTAAACTTAGCTCTTCTACTCACCAGCCTGAGTGTCCTGGACAGTTACTTAAGTCTGTGAGCCTGTTTACCCATCTCAAACACTGGTGTAGACGGTGCTATTCATGTAGGTTTGACTTGATTCTACACAGGGGTTCCTGGTGACTAGAAACTTCCCAATGCTCTAAGTTCAAGTATAGTCTCCTTTGGGAAGGCATTCCACAGGGCACAGTTAGCCTGGCCATAGAGACCAGCCTCCATAGGCCTGTACTGTCTACATATCAACTTTCCAGAGAGGGACAGGGGATAGGCAGCTCTCTGCATCCCTTAGGGACCAGAACACGGGAGGGCCAGTGAAGTTATTTAGACCAATGGGGGGAAGGGTGTATGTCTGGGAATCTCTACTTGGGGGAAGACTGCAATGGGGATTTGTGGAACATTCTACTGAGGAGAAAAAGGCTGCAGCAAGTCCTTCTGTGAACCTCTGAAAAGCCCTGATGTTGGCAGCCTGGCTCTGTCCTCCAGGCCTCACAGACTCACCTTGGCTGTCTCTGAGACCGTGTTCCAGTTTCCCCCACTGAGGGTGAACTTCCCACTGCCGATCCGGGTGAGGATCTCTTCTGGTGTGTCGCTGGGCCCATTGGCAAATGGAGTGTATCTAGAGAAGTTCCCAAACCTGGCTTTAGCCTCTGGCCTCCATCCTGGCACCGGGGGGTAGGTTAGGAGGTTGGCAGCTCCCAGAGGCAGGGCCACGGACCCAGACTTCACACTCACCCTGCCAGCATGGTGTACAGCAGAACGCCCAGGCTCCAGATGTCACATCCTTCATCATAGCCTTGGCGTTTCAGCACCTGGCAGAGGGGGGTGGGAGGGGTGTGGTCAGCCTCAGGGACATTCGGAAACGATCCAACAGTTCCCAGAAAGGTAGGAAGCATGGGCTATAGGTCTCCCTTGGTACCTGGGATGGTCACTTCAGTTCTAGAAAGCATGGGGCCTCTGAGAGCAGGCACCAGAGGTGCTGTCACCTCCACTTACCTCAGGTGCCACGAAGTTGGCTGTGTAGCAAGGCGTCATGAGAAGTCCGTTCTCTGCCCGAAGTTGCTTGGCAAAGCCAAAGTCACAGATGCGCAGGCACTCGGGGTTCCCAGACTCGTCCACATACAGGATGTTACTGGGTTTGAGGTCCCTGTGGACGACCTAGGGGCACAGGGCTGGGTTAGTATATGGTGTAAGAGGTACTAGTGTCAGAATTGGGAAAGTCACACAGACCGGCACACAGACCCTGAGAGGGAGGGAAGGGTTGAAATGGGGCCCTATGTTGGCATATTGCCTTAAAAAATGTGTGGTGGTGTACCCCAGTTCTGATTCCACCCTGTGAGTCCTGGGGATCAAACCCAGGCCGTCAGGCTTGGCAGCAGGCTCCTTTCCACACTGGACCATCTCACCAGCTCTGTATTGTCTTTGTGAGATCTTCGTGAAGATGCCTGTGGCTCTAACTGAGCCCACCCAAATGTCTCCCTCAATCCGCTCATCACCTGCTCTTCTGAGGAGCTCCCTCCTACAGTATTCGTTCTTTTCCCTTTTTAAAAAGTTTTCTTTACCTGTACGTCTCAGCAATTTCACCAACAAACTCTGCTGGTGCTGCCCAGGCACTCCCAGCCCCTCTCCTGTCGGAAATCCTGTCCCTAACACCACCACCTGCCTGGAGACTCTGCTGTTGCCAGAGTGAGTTCCTTAAACCTAAGTCAAGGAGGCGGTGAGATGTCTGAGTGGGGACAAGCGCTCCCAGACGCATCTATGTGTGAACAACAGAATCCACATGGTAGGAGCGGAGAACCTACTCCCATAAATTATCCCGACTGCCACATGGATGTGCTACAACAGTATGAGCATACACACACACACACACACACACACACACACACACACACACACACACACACACACACACACGAGAGAGAGAGACAGAGAGAGACAGAGAGAGAGAGAGACAGAGAGAGATAGAGAGACAGAGAGACACACAGAGAGAGAGAGAGAAAAAAATAGAAAAATGAAAAGAAGAAAAATGGAGGACTGGGTATTGTATCTTAGTGTTACAGCACCCTGCAGGAGGATCAGAAGTTCAAGCTCGTCCTTGACAACACAGTTAGAGACCAACCTGATTACACAGTCCTTGTATACAACCAACCACCCAACCAACAAAAGCAGGGCCAGAAGGGTGGCTTGCCAGGTTAAGAACTCTGGCTGAGGGCTGGAGAGATGGCTCAGAGGTTAAGAGCACTGACTGCTCTTCCAGAAGTCCTGAGTTCGATTCCCAGCAACCACATGGTGGCTCACAACCATCTATAATGAGATCTGGTACCCTCTTCTGGCATGGAGGCAAAATGTTGCATACATAATAAGTAAATAAATAAACCTCTAAAAAGAACCCAGGCTGAGCCGGTTGTGGTGGTGGTGGAGGTAGCAGCAGCGGAGGAGGAGGAGGAGGAGGCACCTTTAATCCCAGCACCTGGGAGGCAGAGACAGGTGGATCTCTGAGTTCGAAGCCAGCTTAGTCTACAAAGTGAGTTCCAGGACAGCCATGGCTACACAGAGAAACCCTGTCTTCAACCCCATCCTCCAATCAAAAGAAGATCCCTGGCAGAGCAATCATGAAGACCACAGCAGATTTTGGATCCCAGAACCTACAGAAGAAACTGGTGTGCTGTTCCTTCAACTCCACTGCTGTGTGGAGTAGGCAGGAGACAGGAGGATTGATGGGACTCATTGCCTGTCAACCTAGCCAAGAAAATGTGAGCCCTAGGGTAAGGGAGAGACCCTGCCTCAAAGGAACAGGTGGAAAGTAACAGAGTACATGCATGATACCCTCTTTTGTCTCACGTGTACAAATATCCATGCAAGCGCACAAGTAAACACACACACACACACTCTCTCTCACAGACACACACATAAATAAAACTAAAAAAATGTCACTTCATAGCTGGGCAGTGATGGCACACCCCTTTTAGTCCTAGCACTCAGGAGGCAGAGGCAGGTGGATCTCTGAATTCAAGGCCAGCCTGATCTACAAAATGAGTTCCAGGACAGGCTCCAAAGCTACCCAGAGAAACCCTATCTCAAAAAACCAAAAACCAAAAACCAAACCAAACCAACCAAACAAACAAAAAACAAAACCCCCAAAGAACATCACTTCACAATCATGCTCTCACTGGGGCTATTCCTCTCACCTCAGTATGAAGGGAGGTGACATTTTATAGGAGGCAATGGAGACCCTGAGCGAAAAGCTGGCTCTTGTGAGCAACAAGGGCAGAACTTGAACTCAGCCCTGACCATGGATGCAGCGTCTTTTCAGTTCAGTGTGGCACAAACACTTTTGGGGAACAGGGACAGGGAAGTTTGGGATCTTACCCTGCCCTAGCAACAAAGCAATGAGTAACTCTAACAGGAACTGTGCCTCACCATGGCTGGAACGGAGGGGGTGGGGGCAGCTTGGATAAGCGTCACAGCATCTGCTGGCCATCAGGTGTGTACATCAGCACAGAGTTACAGTAGGCTGGGCAGGCGTGAGACACGGAGGGAAACACAGCAACCAGACTAAACCCTGTCCCTGGGGACTGGGTGACCTCGCCACGCAGCAACTCAGGCCCAGCATTTGTTTCCCTTTTTCTTCCTCCTCCTTCTCTTCCTTCTCTTCTGTGTGGTTTTTTTTTGGGGGGGGGGTTAGAGACACAGTTTCTCTGTATTGTTTTGGAGGCTATCCTGGAACTAGCTCTTGTAGACCAAGCTGGTCTCGAACTCACAGAGATTCCCCCTGCCTCTGCCTCCCGAGTGCTGGGACTAAAGGTGTGCGCCACCAACGCCTGGCCTTCAGATAGGGTTTTCACTATGTAACCCTGGCTGTCCTGGAACTCATTCTGTAGACAAGGCTGGCTTTGAACTCACAGAGATCCACCTGCCTCTGCCTCCTGCGATTGAGACCTGGGATTACAGGCGTGCGCCACCACCACCCTGGCATAACTTGTTACGTAGTCCAGGCTAGCCTGTAGCTTGTTACACAGCAGCCCGTACTGGCTTCAGATTCATGATCCTCTTGCCTCAGACTCCTGAGTGTTGGAGTCAGGAGCATGTGCTGCCGCCACATGTGCCCCTCCCCCACAGTACTGTGACTGGAGCTCAGGACCTCTAGTATTCTAGGTAAGGATTCTGCCATGGAACAAAACCCCCGGGGCCTTCAACCAGCATTAGCTTGAGAATGAAACAGGAAAAGGGAACATTTACTCTCTGATCTGACATGTTTAAATATCAGTCTGCCTGCATTGGCCATTTAAGAAACCAAAGCCACTTCAAACATGACCATTAAACACACATGTGGCAACCAAACTGAAGCTTTAGTTATGAGGTGAAGTCCCTTATACAAGAATTCTGGGCTCTGAGAAGGCTCAGTTGGTAAAGGCACTTGTGGCCAAATCTGATGACCCGAGTCACGTTGAAAGGGGATAAGAGATTCCTACAAGCTATCCCCTGACATCCATATATGCACTGTGGCACACTCTCCCACACATACTAAGTTAATTAAGAGAACAAATGTGAAAGTATTCTTCTAGTAAGTTACATGTAGTCAAACACTGCCATTTTTGCATGTCTAGCAGAAGAATTGATTCAAAGGCTCTGAAAGGATAAATCCACAGACAAGTGTCTTCCTGATGAGGAAACGGGGCCATCCCACCTGGGAGTAGTCAGGGGCAACATGAGGCGGGCAGGATCAAGTGCAATGTCACACTGAGGGGACAGGTGACCTCGCTCCCCACCCCCACTTCAGTGTTTTGTAGCAGAGCGCCTACCTAACACAACCCACAGCGATCAGATGGTCCTGCAAAAGGAGAGCCAGTGCCTAAGTCCAAGTGGGGGGGGGGCACTGTTCTACATAACCAGCTCAGGTCCTCTGACTGGCCCCTAGGTATGAGTGGAGGAGATCCCAAGCTTGTGGACCCGTGCGGACATCCTGACACCTACTTCCCTCCCAGTCACCAAAACATGGACCTGGACGCCAGCGGTTGGACACAGTCACAATAAGCCCATTTCCAGAGTCTCCTCTATAGATAGTCTGTTAAGGACAAAGAAAACTGGAATCCTGTAATAGTTAAGTACTCTTGCTGGTCTATAATCCCAGCCCTGGGGAGGATGGGGCAGGTTGATCTCTGTGAGTTACAGGCCAGCCTGGCAAGGCCACATAGTGAGTTTAGGAAAAGCCTGGGCTACACAGCAAGTTACAAGACTTTGTCTCAAAAATAATAAACAAAAGTAGGGCATGGTAGCACACACCTTTAATCCCAGCACTAGGGAGGCAGAGGCAGGCAGATCTCTGAGTTGAGACCAGCCTGATCTTCAGAGTGAGTTCCAGGACAGCCAGAGCTACACAGAGAAACCCTGTTTCAAAATCCAAGCTAACAACAACTATAATAATAAAGAACATTCAGCCTTCTATGGGATTTGTATGGATCCCAGACCTTGGCTGGTTTTCTCAGCCTTAGCCCCACTCTCCCGCAAGAAAGTAAGTCGACTTTAGACTTAGGAGCAAGAAAGTAAGTCGACTTTAGACTTAGGAGCAAGAAAGTAAGTCGACTTTAGACTTAAGAGCACTGTGCTCCTAGTACACATCAGGATCAGGTTTGATCCTCAGCAGGGACAAAAGAAGACAGTTTCTCCCACTCGTCATCATCATCAAAGTACAGAACGGTGCCAATGGTGAGGCAAAGCACTGCACAGGGCTAGAGGAGGTACAACAAGTTTCAGCTTTCAAGAAACACAGGCATGATGGGAATTACAAAGTAATGTAATTGGTACCGGCAGGAAACAACAGGTCCAGAACTGGGATGGATGTTCAAGGAACTACTGATCTCTTTTATACACACGGCTTGCCAATAGGAAAGTCCCACATAGCAGACAACATTGCTGTAAACTTTATGCAAATAAAGGTATTCGCTGCCATAGCCCAGCTGCACATACCACATACAGACTGTTAAAACAGTACTTGCCATGTGTGCTGGTTAAGCTTTTGTCACCATGACACAAGCTACAGTCATCTAGGAAAATGAGAAAATGCCTCCATCAGGCCGGCCTGTAGCAAACCTGCGGGGCATTTATTTTATTTTTGGTTTTTCCAGACAGGGTTTCTCTGGATTGCTTTGGACCGTGTCCTGGAACTCACTCTGTAGACCAGGATGGCCTCGAACTCACAGAGATCTGCCTGCCTCTGCCTCCCGAGTGCTGGGATTAAAGGCGTGTGCCACCAAGGCACAACTACTCCCTCTTTCTTAGCACCTGGGTCACCCTCTCCCCTTTTGAAGCCTTGAGGCTCCCCACAGGGACCCCTGCATCTTCCAAAGAAAATCTACTCCTCCCCTCAACTTCCCATGGCCACTTTCTTCAGTTGTGGGCTCCCAGGAAAACGACCGTATACTCCAAGCCTCAGACTTCTGACCTGCCAAGGGCCAGTAACAACATCTAATTTGGGACTTTATGGAAACCCAACTGGAATAACAAGGGAAACTTTCCCTTAAACTAATCCATAGCGTGGCGTATGGCACATAGGGTACTGGACAGACGCTCCTGAGTCTGGCCTCATGGCTTCCTTCCTCTTAGACTCACTCACCTACCCGTCCCCAGTCCCCCCTGGCTGGCAATCTGGAGACTGCCACACTGAGACAGACAGTTCTTGCACTCTGCGCAGGTCATGACCTTGGACTCACCCCCTGGGAATGCAAGTACTCCACAGTCTTGCTGATGGTGTGCAGGACGAAGCTGGCCTCCCGCTCGGAGAAGAACTTTTGGCGCAGGATCTTATCCAGCAGCTCCCCGCCCCTCATCAGCTCTGTCACCAGGTACACGTGCTTGCCGTCATCATACACCTGTCAGAGACCTCGCCGTCAGGCTGGGACCCTCAGCCACCAGCTCTCCAGACGAGGACACTCCAGTGACCCTGCTGGACCTCCACCCGTCTGAGCTCCCATCCTGCTAGACAGTGGGCGCTGGCCTCATCCCTGATGGTTACAGAGGGTTCAGAGAATGCCCCAGCCTGGAGGGAGGGCTCAGGGACTCCTGCCTCTTCTCATGAGCACTGGGAGGAGGCCCTGAAGTAAAAAACAAGGATCCCTCCCACTCACATCTTTCAGGGTGATGATGTTGGGGTGCTGTCCGTACCGCAGAAGAATCTCAATCTCCTCTGAGGGATCCCGTTTGCTCTTGTCGATGACCTGAAGAGTGGGGAGCACATGGCAATGTCAGGGGCACAGACGCCAGCGCCCAATTCCCTCTGCCACGAAGCCCCTACCACAGGACCAGGGACAATCAGCCACACACCTGTCAGAACCCACAGACCCCCCCCAGCAAAGTGCCACAGGTACACTGGCCTCGCCCCCAACCCAGCAGCCTTAATCAAGATATGGTTGGGAAGCCGACCTTGACAGCATACTCCATGTTGGTGGCCTTGTGGACACAGCGCTTACACACGGAGTAGGAGCCCACGCCGATTGTCTCCTTTACCACATAGCCATCACTGAAAACTAAGTTCTTCCCGTGGAGTTGCTGCAGAAGACAAGAGTCAGCTTGACCCCAGCTGCTACTGTCCAGGGACCATCCCTAACATCAGGCGGTGGCTCCGTAAAGATGGCATGGAGAAAGGAAAGTCATCAGGTTGTCACCTCAGTCAAGAACCTGCCCTTTCTGAGCCTCAGTTTCTACTCTCTGCAATGGGCACACTCACTGCAGGGTACAATCACAGGGTAGCCCAAGGGTGGGGGTGGGGGTGGGGGCCACGATAATACATGACACAAAGAAGATGGGCCAGGCCAGACCAGGAGAACCAGGCACTGAGAAGTTTACAGAGTGAGTTCTAGGACAGCTAGGGCTACACACAGAAACCCTTGAAAAACCAGTATGTATGTATGTATGTATGTATGTATGCATATGATTTAATTTTTAATTTAATCATACAGATGTATGTTATGTACGGGTAGATGCCTGTATGTATGCCTGTGCACCTCATGCATGCAGTACCTGCAAAGGCCAGAAGAGGGTGTCAAATCCCTGGAACTAAATGGTTGTGAGCTGCCATGAGGAAGCTGGGAACTGAACCCAGGTTCCCCACTAGAGCAACAAGTGCTCTTAACTAATGAGGTATTCCTTCAGACCCATGTCTCTAGGATCTTTTAAAAAGATTTCTTTATGTATATTATGTATATGGGTGTTTCATCTGCACAGTAAAAGAGGACATCAGGTACCATGGGATTAGTTATGGATACTGTGTAGATGCTGGGAACTGAACCCAGGTCCTCTGGAAGAGCAGCTGGTGCTCTTAACTAACTAGCCATCTCTCCAGCCCTGTGTCTCAACATACCTTATGGACAACTCTGGCTTGTACCTGCTAGCCTCATATCTAATCTGGTTTAATGTTTGTCCTGGACAAGGACATCCCAATATAGGTAAGAAATTACAGTGGCCAGGGCAGGGTGGCACATGCTTTCTAACATTTCAGAGGAAGACGTCTTTGGATCTCTGTGAATTCAAGGCCATTTTGGTCTACAATAAAGAGTTCCAAGCCAGACAAGGTATTTAATCTATTTAGTAAGACCCTGTCTCAAAGAACCAAAACAAGGAAATAATGGTGATCTTAACTCACACATCAGCCATGCAAAGCCTTACAGTACTGCAGAGGAAGGTCTGGTCATTGCCCCAGTTACAGAGGAGGAAACTGAGGCACAGGGGCCTGTGTCTCCTTCAGAGACTGGTCACCTTGTCAGCTCTAAGCCCAGGCCACGAGCTCTGATGATTACATTACTGCCCCTTAGCTGTACACTTTGCATGGAGCGGTCTATGTAAAAGGGGCATCTGTGTGCACATACAAGGTCCCTGCCACCTACTCCTATCAGGGCCACTCTGAGACAGGTGTCCCCGACTGCTTCACTAAGAGGTTTACACAATGACAGCGAGGTTGTCTGGGCCCCAGAGAAGTTTGCCCCGTTCAGCTAGAGAACTTGTGTTCTCAGCTCTTCTGCAGGGGAAAGGGCAACCGAGAGGCAGTCCCCACCCCCCTCACCTGTACCACCGAGTGCAGGGGGGCCTGAGTGGTCCGGGGCTTGCCGTCATCCTCCATCAGGCCAGTGGCCACGAAGCTGAAGCCACGGAACAGCTGATGTGCACCGGCGCTGGGGGGGATGCCTGGAGAGTCTGCCAAGGAGAGCGGGGGAGGACATGAGGGTAAGGGGGTTCCCTCGATCCCAAGGCAGTCCAGCAAAGGGAGACCACAGGGGTCCTGGCCTGCCTAGCAGGCAGCCATGCCGGGAACATGTCCAAGGCCACCCGTACCAGGCCTATGCCCATCTGTTCACACGAGTACCTCAGTGGTATAGTACTTGCCTAGAGTGTATGATGTTCTGGGTTTGACTCCCAGCACCACAAAAGAAATACAAACATATATACTGTTAGGTCTTAAGGAAACCTGGGACAAATACCTGTGGCTCCTCCCAGCACTCCTCACCCCGCCCCCTACTTTAAGCCCCTCCCTCCCAGGGGCTGGGCTTCTGCTTCCCTTTCCCCAGCCTGATCCCATATAACTCAGCTACTTTGGCTACTCCAGTCTCTTGGTGTGTGCCACCCCTCTTGGTCAGTGGCTCTTCTCTTGGCCCGTCTCTCCCTCCCTGACTCTCTTCTGCCGGCCATATTCAGTCTGGGCTCTTCCCTCTGTCTGCTTCCTCCCTTCTATCTATCGTAAAGATCTTCTCATTGTTTTCATTCACATACTAAATGAATAAATAAGCAAATCTGGCATGGTGGCACACACCTGTAATCCCAGCGCTCAGAAGAACTGCTACTAGTCTGACGCCAGTCTGGGTACGTGAGTCCCACGCTACCCTTTCTCCCCGTTGGCAGTCAGCCCCACTGGAGCTCCACATGCTCGAAAGAGTCTCAGAGCTGCCACACACGCTGTCCCCCTGGATTAGAAGATCTACTCCTTGTCCATCATTCAAGGCTTAGTTCATATGCCCTCCTCTGAGAAAGTTGCCTGAGGTTGCTTCTCTGACCCTCTAAAATCTCCTGCCCACTGACGGACTGAGCGACACGGTTCTCTTAGTCACCATGTCTTGACCACCTCTCTCCTACGGCTGACACACAGCAGACACCTGCAATGGACTTGGCAGAGAGAGAGAGAAGAGAAACAGCTCACAAGCGATGAGCTTCCTGTCAGCGGCGGTGTGGAAGCTACAGAGAGGGAAATCACTCTCAGAGAAGGCATCACAGAACTAACACGAAACTCCCCATTCACTGGCAGCATCTGGCCGGAAAGTCAGGGTCCTGCGCTCCCTCACTGGTTTTCTGTAGCCACCAAGGAATGAGGCGGGTCTGTGACTGTCTGAATGTTCCAGGTGAGCAAAGGAGCGCCAGCTTCGGGAGCCAAAGCCCATTCCTCATTCAACCAACCTGTGGGCATGTCACCTCTGCTCTGCCAGACTCTCGCTCCCCTCACAGGGTTGCCAGGTCAGATTCCTCATGCCTGACGCTAGTGGAGGTCTGACATGGTTAGTCTTCCCCGTGGGCTGGAAGATGCCTGGGGCGGGGGTCCTGACTTTCCTGCTGTGGCCTAAACCACCCCCACATCTCATTCCCTCACCCAGAAACAAAGAGGCCACAGAGCCCCAGAGAGGCAGCGAGGCAGTGTGAGGCCAGGACTGAGTAGGAATAGAGCCAGACACTGCCTATCTGCCTACACACACACCTGAGCTCCCAGAGTCCTAGGTCACCTCTGTATTCCAGAATTCCCCCAAAGATCTGCTTGACTGGGCCCGGTCCTAGACAGACAAAGCAGATCAGGGACATACCCCTGGGCGTGCGAGATGTGAACTCAGTGTCAAAGTAGAACGTGTCATCCGGCTGGGCCACAGCTGGCTTGAAAGGTGGCTTGATCTCACGACGGTAGAGCTTCTGTAAGGTGAGGCGTATGCTCTGATCACCATGGTGACCCCATAGTCTGCCAGCAGCCTGGGCAAGAACAGTGGAGGCTACGCTGCCCAGTAGACAACAGCCTTGGGAGACCAGTCTTGCCTTCAAGGGCATGGCATTGCCCTCCAAGGGCACTTTCAAGGCTGCCCATCTTCTGTCTCCCACATCTGAGGGCCTAGTTGGCAGAGGCCCCATTTCCCACCCTTCCTGTGACCATCACAGAGCCATGGTGAGGGCAGATTCACTCACATTCCAGTCAATGGTAGCGTAGAAGACATGCCTCTTAATTTCCTCCGCCCCATCAGGACCTGAACCTGAAAGGGGACAAATGAAAAGTCCAACCTCAGACACCAAGCCTGTCCCCCAGGTGCTCTGGACCAGCTGCTGCAGCAGAAGACAGGCTGGGCTCACCCTGCCCTCATCAGCACCCACCACCCAGAAGCCCCTCAGTGTTTTCTACTTCATGGCGCCTCTGATCATCGAGTGCCAGTGTACTGACAGAGGAAGGGCCAGGCAGGACAGGCGACTTGTCCAAACAACAGTCAGAACAGAAGCTGGACTTCTGAGATCAACAAAGTCCTTCATCTGCTCCTGCCACAAGTCTCACCCATGCCCTTCGCCTACTGGCCTCATCATCCCTGAGACAAACTCTTGTTCAATTCAACTCAGGGACTTGGGCTGGATTTTCTGAAGCTGGCTGCGGTCCAGATGAAGCCAGCAATTAAAAAGTCAACAAACAGTGTAGACTCCAGTACTTGACAGGCACGTCCTTCTGACTCAAAGAAACCTGGGGGCCAGGTTGGGACCTCAGTCTCCAGTGACACAAGGAACTTGGGGCTCAGAGTGGTGAAGTTACCTGCCCAATCACGCAGCTCATAAATGGTACCCAATCACTCAACAAATATTTACAGTGACTGCAAGGTGCCAGGCAGCGGGGACAGACACAGCTAGTACTGGGACCTGTCTTACTCCCCGGCTCATGTGCCTTCTCCTGAGCTAGCAACCTTGGCAGAGAAGCTATGTGGGGCCTCTGTCCTTGTCCCTGAGGGGGCAGGGATGACTCAGTTCCTGCCCTCCCCCTACACACAGGTCACCCTCCCAACACCACACATGGAGCCAGAAAATGGGGTGGCCAGAAGCATTGTCTGCTCACACAAAGGACAACGACTCCTTTCAGTCCCAGATGTGGCCCTGTGGCCTAGGCTGCAGCTGTACCCTGTTCCCCACTGCCATGCCCCCTCCCGAGCTGGGGTTGCTTACCAAGCCGATTGGCAGGATTCCTCTTAAACAGGGCCCGCAGGAGGCTCTGGGCTTCCGTACTCAGAAACTGGGGCATGCCTAGCTTCGCCCTGTAACAGCCGCAGGTCTCATCAGTGACATGCCCCACCCCAGAAGTCCCAGAGCCCCTTCCCTCTGTCTAGGTCTCTGTCCCAGGTCAGTCCAGACAAGTCAACTGCTAACTCACCTCCCAAAGACTTTAGAGAAATCTCACACTGGCCCCAGTAGACGACAAGGGTCTGTGGAGCCAGGGGAAAGGCAACTCTCTGCCCGAAACTGGCGTGGGATTAGGAAGACCTTACTAGTGCCAGGGTAGCACTGGACCTTACTTCAAAATCAATGTCATGGTCTCCTTCCGGTCCTTCCCCTGGAAGGGCAGGGAGCCCGTCAGCATCTCAAACTGCAGGAAAAAAAGGTGCAGTTTTAGTCTCTGTCTCCCACATTCTCCTCCTCCTTCCCAGGCTACCCTGATCCAGGCTCCCTGGAGCAAGGACCATGCCTGCCTCTACCCCATCCCAACCTAGGGCCCAGAAGCAGCACTGAGCCTTGAAGCGGGGGAGGAGGCTCTCGGGGTAGCCGACACCCCTGGAGGAGGCTCTCAGGGTGGACAACACTCCTGGGGGAGGAGGCTCTTGGGGTAGCCGACACCCCTGGGGGAGGAGGGCCTCCGAGTGGGCGACACCCGTGAATCTCCCACGGAAAGAAGGTGCAACAGCGTGCAGGGCAGTAAGCTCGGCTGTGAGACAGGAGGGGGCAAAGTGGCCTTCTTTGCTGTACACGTGGGAAACTAAGTCCAGAGCCTGGGACACTCACCATCAACACCCCATAGGACCACCAATCTGCACTGTGGGTGTGGCCCTGGCGGTTGACAACCTCGGGAGCCATGTACTCCACTGTCCCGCAGAACGAATAGGCCTTCTTCTCATGGTCAATGGCCTCCTTGCTCAGGCCAAAGTCTGCAGCATGGATGGAGGGGAGAGAGCCATCTTTAGGACCCCTGGCTTCCTCACTGCTACCACACTTAGCTTTCCTGGCCAGAGCAGGACATTCCCTCTGAGACATCAGGAAGAAGCTGAAAACCAAGGGGATTTGCCTCAGGTTGTAGTGGGGAGCTGTGATTCTGAACTGGGACCTGGGGATCTTGAGAGATGGCCCAGCAGTTAAGAGCATTGTCTGTTCTTCCAGAGAAACCAGGTTCAATTCCCAGCACCCACATGATGGCTGACGCCCAGTTCCAGGGTACTCTGGCTTCTATGGGCAATGCGTGCATGAGGTGTACAGACGCATATACAGGTAAAACCCCCACAAAATAAAAACAAGTAACATAACCAGGACTGCCCTTTGAATCCATATCTATAATTGGCACCACCTCTCAGGAAGCCTAGGGAACTCCCAGACCTCAGCGGAGAGCCTATCAGGAGGCCCCCTCATCCTTGCCCGAGTTAAAAGGAGCAGGTCTGCTTCACTCACCAGTGAGTTTGATGTGGCCTTCCTCATCCAAAAGGATGCTGGAACAGAGAGACAGGAGTCAGGGGCCTGGGCAGCAGGCACTATGTGGACTTCGTGGTACCATGGGATGGAGGAACTTGGGCCTGCCCAGAAGGGCTGGGTCCAGATCTACCCAATGAGTGGTAGGACAGAGGCCTGGCAGTGTCAGAAGGGCCCGTTTGGCTAAAGGGAAAACGACATCTCAGGAAAGGAACTCCCTTTCACAAGATTTGGATGTCAGTGGAACTTGTCTGTCTTTTAAGCACAGCGTCTACTATATTGTACAGGCTGCCTTCAAACTCTTGGACTTAACCTGACTCGGGGTGTGTCTAACTCTGCCACCAGACTTGGGGTGTGTCTAACTGCCACCAGGCTGTCCTAGCTCTTAAGGTAGCACTGGAAGGCAATGCATTCAGATACCAAGGAACACCCCAGGAGGAACGTGTCAGGAAATGATCTTTTTTTTTTTTTTTTTTTTTTTTTTTGGTTTTTCAAGACAGGGTTTCTCTGTAGCTTTGGAGGCTGTCCTGGAACTCACTTTGTAGACCAGGCTGGCCTGGAACTCACAGAGATCCGCCTGCCTCTGCCTCCCGAGTGCTGGGATTAAAGGCGTGCACCACCAACGCCCGGCCAGGAAATGATCTTTAAAGGCAGCATCTGGGGGCTGGAGAGATGGCTCAGAGGTTAAGAGCACTGCCTGCTCTTCCAGAGGTCCTGAGTTCAATTCCCAGGAACCATACGGTGGCTCACAACCATCTGTAATGAAATCTGGTGCCCTCTTCTGGCCTACAAACATATGCTGTATACATAATAAATAAATAAATTAATTAATTAAAAAAAAAATAAAGGCAGCATCTGTGCGTCACACTGCACGGGGCTGGAGGTGGGGGATGGGGGACAGGATGGGACAAGACACAGCTTCCTGGTGGCCTTTGGTAGCAGCACGACTGGTCAGGCAGTCCCTAGTTACCTGAGGTCAATCTGCTGCTGCCACCACCCCGCTCCAACCACGCATCATCTCTACCGGAGAGGCCCTGCTCTACAAGAGGCCCAGGTCTCTGCACCCTGTAGAGAGGCTAGGCGTAGGGCTGGGCCTCACTCACTTTTCAGGCTTGAGGTCTCTGTAAATGATGCCCAAGCTGTGCAGGTGGTCCAGGCCCAGTGCCAATTCAGCCAGGTAAAACTTCACGTCCTCCTCTGTAAACATGACCTGCCACAGGGAAGGAAACACGCTATAGTCGGGACACCCTGTTCCCTGAAAGCTGGGCTGCGGGGCAGCCAGAGACTCTTGGCGTTAAGGTCTACCCTGGGGACATAAGTGTAATGCCACATATCTTTCTCTAATACACAAGTCACTCACTGGGCTGCAGCTTGGAAACAGCAAACAGAAAAATAATCCAAGTCCCCAGGAGTGAAAGACTAGAATAAATTGCCTCTCCCGGGCAAAATGAAGAGCTAGGAAGCTGTAACGTAGAACAAGGTGGTTTTCTATATCCTGGTACGGAACAATCTGAGACACTCAGACTCACGAGGCTACGCACAGAAAACGAATACTTCTCAGGTAAGACGTGAGGTAGGGACTCACAACATGTACAGGATGTATTTACCAAAGGAACCTGAGATGCTTAAATAAGAAACCAATAAAGAATGTTTACCTAGCTGGGGTGGAGGCCCACACCTTTAATCCCAGCATTGGGGAGGCAGAGGTAGGTGGATCTCTGTGAGTTCCAGGTTAGCCTCCTGGTGTACAGGGCGAGTTCCAGGACAAGGCTACACAGAGAAACCCTGTCTCAAAAAACCAAAAAAAAAAAAAAAAAGTTCCCAATTGTTAAAAAATCCTTTTATATTGGGTCCTTTATATTCTATCCTTTTATGTCAATGACAGGACAAGAAACTTAAGTCTTTTTTTTTTTTCTTTTTGTGGTTTGGGACAGGGATTCTGTGTAGCCCTGGCTGTCTTAGAACTCACTCTGTAGACCAGGCTGGGCTCAAACTCAGATATCCTCCTGCCTCTGCTTCCTGAGTGCTGGGATTAAAAGCGAGCGCCACCACCGCCCAGCTAGAATCTTAAGTCTAGCTTCCTAGGTGGGTTTAGGCTTCTTTCCCTAGACAGTCTACCTCAAGCAACTATAGACCATGGTGGTGTCACATTTAGGCCTGTTCATCTTCAGTCTATCAGAGAAGCTCGTAAAGGCTTTGCCAGGGGTGGCCTCTTTCAGGTCCGGTGACTTTTCTTGAGTTTGGGGACTGTCAATCTGGGGAAGTTAACGGCCTAGACCACACCAAGAGTGGTCTTCATAAGGTCCCAGGATGGGACTCTGCATCACATCCCCAGCAGTGGGATGTCAGCTTACCTCCTTGGAGAGTCGTGTGAACAGGTCACCACCACGCAGGAAGTCCAGAATGAGATAGAGCTTGCCCTCAGTCTGGAAGGCTAAGAGAGGGCAGAAGGCAAGATGGCGTCAGCTGGGCCTTGGGACCAGTGCCTCTACTCCTGGCTCCTGGGTCTGGCCCATAAGAGGTGGGACAAGGAACAAGGAACACAGCAGTTGACAGGCAAAGCTGGACACTGAGGAGAGGGTGGCACTTGGGCAGGGTCTGTGGTCTCACCGTAATGCAGCTTCACCACGAATGGGTGGTTCACATCAGCCAGGATGTCTCTTTCCATCTTGGTCCGAACTCGGTCACGTACTGGCCAGAAGACAAGGGAAATCACTAAAAGTCTACACACCCAACACAGCCTGTGCAAGCCCAACTCTGTCTCTTCCCACTCATTCTTCCGAGTCTGCACGCCCAAGGCGCTCCCACCCTGGGGGGGCATTCAGTCTGTTCTTCCCTCCCCTTGGCCGCTTGGCCGCTCTTGCTCCCCATGAAGTCCAGGTAGAGTCCCTGGTGTCTTGCCCAGTTGTCCAGTCTTCCACCACGCCCCACAGCCACTGAGACCCCGTGCCCAGGGCGCCCTATTTCCCGAGGCCCCCAGACGCTGACTACCTCCTTCAGGGTACCTTTATCAACCCCTTTCCATCTCCCAAGAGTCCCTAGGCTCAACGCTACAATGGAATTCTTAGGTGGGTCTAAGAGGACGCTCCACACAAGCTTTGCTCTTCACTGTCTTTTTTCTTGCTGGGGAGGATTATTTGAGACAAGCTGCCATGTAGCCCAGGCTCGCCTCAAAGTCACTATGTAGCCAACCCTGGCCTTGAACTACTGACTTTTCTGCCTCTCTCGTACGCTTCAATTATAGGTCTCCTGAATGTCTGGTGGGGGTGGGGGTGGGGATAAAGATAAATTCTGGCCACCAGCAGGTTTTTGGTTGACGAGGTTCAGACCCTGCCACTTCCAGGAAGTATCCCCAAAGGTTGAGGCTCTCTGGGGTTTCCACAATGCTGGCGTTTTCCCATCACACTACTTCCTATTTTGTTTTAATCCCGCATTTCTCTCCCCAGATGTGGCAGGGGTCATGCTGCAGTTAACTACTCCAGACACTTTCAAACACACCTCATGTTTCCAGCGACCTCAGGGTCATGGATCCTTGTTCCTGGGGGTTCTTCCTTTACCATCTCGTCCTGGCAAATTCCTGACATCCTTCAAGGCACAGGTCCTACGCTTACTCCTCAGAGCTCCCAGACTCTCACCTGACCTCTATGACTCCGTAGCCCATCCCTCAACTCCTTGACCTGCACACAAGCCTGTGCTATCCTCACTGCCAGGCCATGTTAAGACTCTCCACCCAGTCCACAAGTCCCTTATGGTAGGGGCCACATCTTTTCATCTTTCTCCTCCCCTGTGGTTCCCACAATTTCTCTTGAGGGATGATACTACTGTCAGCCCACACTAAAGCCACTGTCCTTAAGACTGACCCCTCCCTTTCTCCATGTTCCACCCCCAGCCAAGGCTTAGCTTGGGATCCACCTGATGTCTGGACACATTGGTTCCCAGACCAATCAGAATCAACAACTGACCCACAGCCAACTATCCATTCTCATATACTTTTGAAGCCCCCAGAATTGTTGCCTCTGGCTTGGGGCTCCCTTCTGAGCCTCTTTGTCATCCAGCTCTGTGGCCTCGTCTCCAACTCATCTTCTCTTATGGGTCCCCAGCTTCTGCACCCTGGGGCTCCCCGCTCTTCTCTCATGCTCGTCTCTGTTCAGAACCTCCCCGAGACCAGACAGCCTCAGGCTTCCACCATCCAAGCATCATGAAGCCACTCTGCAGACACAACACAAGAGCCTCCCACCCTCAAGCATCCTGCACCCCACTACTGCTTCTAGGCTGTACTTGGTTTTGGGAGGCAGAGAGGGCCCAGGGCAGCTGACAGTTGGCTTGCTTTCTGCCCCATGCTAGAGGCCCCTGAAAACAGAGGCTCTTCCCTCATCATCTCCACAATCCTGCGGCCTGGGCCTCCTCCTCACACAAACCCAGCTTGAGTTCTGCGCAGGGAAGCATTCTTACCTTTCAACGTTGCCTTCTTTAACACTTTCATGGCATACAAGTGCCCACTGTCAGGCCTGGTGACCTTGCGTACCAGGAAGACCTGAGGAGGAAAACACAGGTAGGAGGTGAGAGGTGGCTCAAAGCCTTCCCACTGGCCTATAAAACTCCCCAGGACCCCAAGATCTCTCCCTCGGTTATCAACCTCTTACCCATACCCTCTGATCCTCTGATGGACTCCAAGGTAACCCCGACACCCTGTGGTGTCCTCCCCAAGACATCTCCTGTGGTGTCCTCCCCCTCAGACATGACCTGTGGTGTCCTTCCCGAGACATCTCCTGTGGTGTCCTCCCCCTGAGACATGACCTGTGGTGTCCTCCCCCTGAGACATCTCCTGTGGTGTCCTCCCCCTCAGACATGACCTGTGGTGTCCTCCCCCTCAGACATGACCTGTGGTGTCCTCACCCTCAGACATCTCCTGTGGTGTCCTCCCCCTGAGACATGTCCTGTGGTGTCCTCCCCCTGAGACATGTCCTGTGGTGTCCTCCCCCTCAGACATGACCTGTGGTGTCCTCCCCCTGAGACATGTCCTGTGGTGTCCTCCCAGTAAGGGAACTCTCTGACTTACTTTGCCAAAGGATCCCTGCCCCAGAACCTTGAGGAGCTCAAAATGGGATGGATCAGCCTTCTCAGAGCCGGCCTTGACGTGGTGCGTGATGGAGATCTCCTTGAGGACGCCCTCATCCTGATGGAGGGACAGAGGTGGTAGGCCCGGGCCCCTTTGTAGGCTTGGGGCCTTTCCTGGGCAACATGGCATACAGCTTATCCAAGCCATCCCACCAGATCAACACAGGCCCAACAGACCACTCCCCCAACAGCCTTCAGGCTCATGGGTACCAACAGTGTCTCAAAGGCCAAGAAGGCCAACTAGCAGGGTGCCAACTCAGGTGAGGCCCTGTTCCTGTGGCATGGATGCTTGGGCCTGCTCAGACCCACAGGAAGGTACAGACATGGGCAGGATGAGTTGACCCAAGGCTTGGGTCTGGTGTAGAGTCCTTCTCAGGCCCACCCTAAGGTTCCCCTCCCCCCCAGTTGTTTGGGTTTTGCCACAATAGGAAGTAAGGTTTGAGCTCATAATGGGGTGGTAGGGCTGGGCCTTTTTTTGCTAGTCAGGATGAGATAAGGCAAACCTATGGCTGTGTGGATACGGCTGAGGTACACAGAAAACCAAGTCACCCAGACATCCCTCTCAACCCACTCAGTGCCCATCTGGGGCCAGTGAGGGTTCAGGCCAGAGACCTGTGCCCTACCAAACTTCTCTTGAGAAGCATGTAGGAGCCCTTGTCGGTCACTGCTGTGCTAGGGCCTTTCTGGCCTTCCCATCTGCCAGTCTTGCCCTGAGGCGCTGAGATGCCGCCTTACTTCCCCAGGAGGCAAGACTGGGCAAGGTCTGGTCATCTAGCAGGGCCAGGAGAGTCGGAAGCTAGCTAGGCCACATTGGCTGCCCAAACACCTGTTCCAGGGGCTACTGCCAAGCCAGGACCAGATATCCGGGTACACTCACCGAGTCCTGCTGTGGACCAGAGCCAGGGCCAGAGCCAGGCAGAGTCTGGCCGATCCTGGACCGTTGCTTCCTGAGCAGCCAAGGGAGCAGGGCCCTGAGCCGCAGACGGGGCAGCTTGGGGTCCTGCTCCATCCGCCCAGCAGGGCCACAGCACCATGGCAAGGGCAGGCAACAACCCACCGGGGCTGCTGAGGAGGTGGCTGGGCCCAAGGCGGATGTGCAGGGTGAGGACGCGGGGGCTGGGCCAGGCCCGAGACAGCCAATCACGTAGGGCCTGTGGTTTCCCATCTCCAGGGTTCCACCCTCTCTCTGTTCCCTTCTCACCCCCCTACTCCCCGGTGCCGAGGTCTGCCCTCCGGACCTCTCCCTCACCCTCCCCGTGGGCCTACAGAGAAAGGCCCACACCAGGCCAGGTGCTGAGCAGACAGGTCCTAGAAGAGCAGGCACCCGACAAACTACCGGGTAGGCAGAGACAGGTGGAGCAGACAAGGACAGATACCTATGAGACAGGGGCTGTAAGACATACATACAGCCAGGCGTTGGTGGCGCACGCCTTTAATCCCAGCACTCGGGAGGCAGAGGCAGGCGGATCTCTGTGAGTTCGAGACCAGCCTGGACTACCAAGCGAGTTCCAGGACAGCCTCCAAAGCCACAGAGAAACCCTGTCTCGAAAAACCAAAAAAAAAAAAAAAAAAAAAAAAAAAAAAAAGACATACATACAATGTGTACATGTACACAGCACATACACATTCATTAAACAGGCAGGGAGCATGTTATAAGGACATATCCCCAAGCAGGAAGAGGTAGATTGGGACCGTTACTCAGCAGATAGGAAAGAGGCACACAGAGACCTGTACCAAGAGGCAAAGGCAAGAACACATGTCCACTACACAGGAGGGAACTTGTGCCTATGCCAGACAGACTCATCTGAACATGCAGAGAGACACAAGGAACCACTCAACATTTATCGTGTATCCAATCCACGAAGACAGGCACTTATCAACTGGAGACAGGGCCTGGAACCCAACAAGAGAGATAGGGCTGGCAGCAGAGAGGCAGGCAGAGTTCAGGATCTCCACAGGCTGACATGCGTCCGGGGCAGGGATCCCCAGGCAAAGACAGCGGGCAGAGCTGCAGGTTTTCTCAAGTGCTTAGGGTGGGAAGAGACAAGAAGATAAGCCGCTGGCCTAGCACTGAGTGTGTGCTCAACGCCATCTCTGTGAGGTCTTTCAAAACTTTCCCAGGGACTTCCTAGGTGGCCTAAGACCGAGGGGGAGGCTGTCCCTTAAGTGAACTCTGATCCAAATATCCCTAAAACCTCTAGCTCCTCTGGGGGAACAGGAAACTGCGGTTCAGGTTCAAGACAGACCAATGACAGAGCTGCCCTGAGTCAAGTCCCTCCTCTGGGTCCTGTCTGACTGTGGTCAGCAGCCTCAAGTGCCAGGAAAGGGTGGGCAGGTAAGTCAGCCAGAGCCCACTTCCTGCCCACCCAAGCCTGCCCTCTCTCTCAGTCCTAAAGTCAGTCTGGGACTTCCCATCCCAAGTCCTCACTCTCAGAGGCTCCAAGGGTCTCAAATGTGCCGTCAAACCCAAGAACACTAAGTTAATCAGTCCCCCAAAACCATCTCGTGGAAGGAACGGGCAGAAGGCATGACTGTGGTTAAGCCAAGGCCACACAGCAACTCCTGCTCACCCCACCCCAGGATCAGCTGTTGAACTCCACTGTCGGTTTGAGAAGACTCACTGGGGGCAGATGCAGCTACCCGGAAACTCCAGGGGACAGACAGCTTTCCCCAAACCTATTCTGTGTCCAGAGTCATGATGACAGACACTTGTGGAGACACATTACCCATCTCCTCACCTTTCTGGGATAGAAGCCGGAGTCTCTCTCAACCCTGGGGACATCTGCTGGGGTTTGCATGGTGGGACTCAAGCTGGTGGCCAGAGGAGCCTGTGACTCCCACGACTTCTGCTTTTTTTAGCTTTCCTAGCCCAGAAGGCAGGGTCTCTGGCTCCCCTCCTTCTCACTTCCCTCTCAGCAGGAAGGAGGAACTCAAGATGAGTTAGGCTCCCTGATAAGGAGGGGACACTGCAGACCCCATGCTATGACCCAGGGAGAGCCGAAAGGTACATCCCTTTTTGTCTCCTGTTCTGACAGAGAGACAACAGGAACACAGACAGAAGTCACAAGGCGATGAGATGCCCACACAATATATATTCAGCATTTGAAAATGTACACCCTAGGGATTCCCCAAGAACGTATGGGACAGAAGTCAGCAAGGCTAGTCTGGCTGGCCCAGCCCGGAGGTGAGATACCCCTTCCCTCACAGAGCAGGTAGTACCCTGCCTCGTCCTATTTCTCTTCAGACACACTAATCATAAGCCCTGGGATGGACAAGATTTCAGAAGACCCAAGAGGAATGGGTGGGTTCCTGAGGGCAGGCGTGGACCAGGCCCATCCCTTTCTATGGGGCTTCACCTCCTCTGACACACCCACAGGAACAAAGACACTCATGCTGAGATCGGAAACCCTCTCTAGACAGCCCGGTGTAGAAACACATGCCCCCCTCACGCACGCTGTACTTCCCCTTTCCTGTCCTCACAGGGCTCTGATAAGCCTGTGGTAGATGGCCTGTGAAGTTGTGAAATATGCCTACCCAAGACCAAAGCTCCTGCTGCTTCAGGCAGGGCAGCTTGCCCGAAGACTGGCCACGGACACCTATGCCAGGCTTCCCTCAACCCACTAGTCCCCATAAGCAGGGGAAGCAGCACCGTGGCAAGCAGGGTAGCAGCAGGAGGGAGGGAAAGTTCTCAGAATTGCCTTTGCTGGACTGCGGGGAGGACCTGAAGCCTCTGGTGCGTACGGGGGAGGAAAAAAAAAACCAGCTTACACTCCTGAGCCCTGGCCCTGGCCCTCCAGAGAGTCTTCCTCCACAGAGCAGCAGGAAGAAAAGCCCACAGTCACACCATCTGATCCTTGTCTACTCTGGGTGCCCTGCATGCTATGGTTAAGCCCACATGTCAGTTGCTGGCCCCAATGGCCACCAACAATCCCTTCCCCAGCTGGCAAAATCTGCAGGCCCTTCCAGGTATGACTCCCAGCATGCCTCTCGGCAGGCTGACTGTGCCTAGGCATCCTAAGGGAGGGGCTGGTCCCAACCACCAGGTCAGGCCAGGGAAGAATCTATGAGACTTGAGCCTCCTGTCACATGGTCACTTAACCACTCTTTCCTTCAGCCTTGGCTGAGGTAGATCCACCAGGCCTGGGCTTGGCACATCTCCCAAGGAAGAATTCTTTTCTGATTTTAGTGATAAGGAAACAGGACCCAGACAGAAAATGACAAGTCCAAGCCCATGGGGACTGCACGGGACAGACAGCTACGAGTTAAACTAAAAAGCCTGCTCCCGAGCCAGCCAAAACTTTCCCACACTTCATCACTGATCCCCACACCCCTTCCCACCCCAACACCTCAGCAAGGCTTTCCTGCAAGCACAAGTGGTGCTTCTCCTTTGGACATGGCTGACAGCTCCTGGCCCCTGCTTTGCCCAGGTGGGAGACAGACACAGCTAAGGACGGCTTGTCTTATCCTCAGGCAGCTCCAAAAAGAAATACTTGGTAACAAAACACAACTGTCCTGCCACAGGGCTGCAGTTAACGTGCTGAAGCTCCCAGAGGTGAAGAGAAGACTTAGGGCATGAGTCAGTCCAGCTGACTCTTGAGGAGGAACAGGTATTGGCTGGGCAGAAAGGGACTAAGAAAAGGAGTCCATGCCAAGAAAGAGCATTGTGAGCGAGGCGCCCGGGAAGTGGGGCAATGAGTGTGCAAGCCAGGTGCGCCCCGAGTCTTATCTCAGGATCCGCCCTCCTCTGCTAAGATGATGGCTCTCTGCGAGCCAAACGGGCCATGGAGAAAAGAGACACTGTAAACAAAACCGCTCTCTACTGAACTTCAGGTTCTCCCCAGGGCAGGCTGAAGGAAGAGAGCCCAGGCATGTGTCTCAGGCACTAAGCAGGTAGTCTGGTCAGTTCCGGTCATCCAAGAGAATTTTCTCTCAATAACTGAGGCTGCCTGAAACTCCCTACAGCCCAGAGTCACATCCTGCCCAAGTTCCCGGGCCAGGGGAGCATAAGGGATCCGGGAGGGATCAGGGTTTCATAAACAGGAAGAGAGGAAGGGAGGCGGGAGATACTCTCAAAATAGACCTGCCGGGCTTCAAAGGGGTCCGGAGAGAGTCAGAGGAGGGGCCGGGTTGCCCAAGCCACTCCCAAGAGGGGAGAGGGGCAGCAAGCAGGGGCCCTGATGTTCCTGAAGATACTGAGTTAAAGGGATCCAAGGCGTGCTCGCCCCACACCATCGACGCTAAGCCGCAGCCCTCTTTGCAGCTGCAATGGAGAGAGAAGCCAGCACTAGATACCAACATTGTGCACAAGCCCCAGGTGCCCACAGCACACTCTCTCTTCCAGGGGGCCCTAACAGCTAGGTTCCCTTTTTCTTTGTTTTGTGACAGGTCTTGAAATACAGCTTTACCTGACCTGGAACTCATTATGTAGACCAGGCCGGCCTCGAACTCACAGACATCCACCTACCTCTGCCTCTGAGTGCTGTGATTAAGGGTCTGTGCGGTTATGACCAGCAAGATAGGCTCTTCTCATTCATAGCTAGGCTCTATTCTGCCCTTTGAAAGCGCAACTTGCCCCAGGCAAGGCAGATGAGCCCCAGACAGAACCCAGACTGCCTGGCCCCCAAGTCTGAGCCTGCCTCACCTCACCTGGAAAGCCTGCCTCTATGCCCTGCCAAATGCTAACTCTGCAGGGAAGGTAGCTGGGGACCCCAGTGCCCACCCAACCTTCCTTCACCCGTCACACACAGGAGGCCACCTCGACGCTCACACTCAGCCAAGAGCTCAGATGACACTGGCTGAGGCTAGGATGTGCTCACGGCACTAATCGCTCTCCTGAGAAGAACGGGGGAGGGGAGGAAGTGTTATGTGTAGGTTCTATGTGCCCATCTTAGCACCCGCCAGTTTTCCTGTCTCCACCTCCCTGCACACCTGGGTGCTCTCTGAGGCTGGGGGTGTCCAGCACATTTGGGTGAGGAGTGTCTCTCAGTGAAATAAATATGGGGCACAAATATGTGATAAAGGGGAATCTGCCTGTTCAACCACTACACAATGACGAGGTCCTGGTCCCAGGTTATGTGCCCCCTAGTGTACTAAACCCAGACCACTGAGGAATTTTGAGCCAGTTGTGGCTGAGCCGGCACTCAGTGCTAGCCCCCTGCTCCCCGCACCCCCAGACACCCAGTGCTCTTCCTCTTCACTGCTCTGGATTCACCAGCTAGGGAGGAATGTGGCTCAAGCAAGGCTTGACTTCCAGCTCTGTGCGACAAAACAATTTTCTCGTCTGGAAAATGCTATTCCACCTCTGAACACCATATACAAGGCTGGAGAGATGACTTATTGGTTAAGAGGCTTACTGGTTACAAGACTGCTCTTCCAGAGGACCCAGGTTTGATTTCTGGCACCTGCATGGCTACTAATGATCATCTCTAACTCCAGTTCCAGAGGCTCTGGTGCCCTCTTCTGGCCTTATCAGGTACTACACACATGTGAGGCACACATAAATTAAAAATATTTTAAAAAGATATATGAGCACAAAGCCTCTAGCTTGAAGCCAGATGGTGCCCACACCTTTAATTACAGCACTCAGAGGCAGAGGCAAGAGGATCTCTGTGAGTTTAAGGCCAGTTCGGTCCACTGAGCGAGTTCTAGGACAGTCAGGGCTATACAGAGAAACCCTGTCTTGAAAACAAACCAACCAACAAAAATCCCAAATAAAAAAGCTTCTAGCTTGAAGCCAGGCTCGGGTTCAGCTTTCCACCACGTGGTATCTGAGAGCCCCACTGCCTTGACCCCCTTCCCCACCAGGACCTTCCGCCTCAGTGAAGCGAACAAAGTCCCTGTCTGGATAAGCTCCCTCTCTGACATAGCCAACCTTCTGGTTTCGTTTTGAGACAGGGTCTCATGTGGACCAGACTAGTCTAAAACTCACTAGGCACCAGAGCGTGACTTTCTTCCGACTCTCCGGTTTCTACCTCCCAAGCACTGGGATTACAGCCTGCACCACCAGGTTGGGCCCCTTAGATTCTTGAGATAACCAACTGAGCTCACTACCAGTTCCCCAAAACTTTTACGTTGACCCCCTTGGACCTTCAAAGCCGAGACCTGAAGGCCTAGCTATCCCCTAAGACACCACGACTCCCTCGTTTTATTACAAGGAAACTAGAGGCAGCTCCTTTGTGGGCAGAATCTCCAGACACGGTCTGAGATAACCAATGTCCAAGCTACATGGCTTATTGGCCCCAAGGCTCTGTTGTTATAGTAACCAACAGCAGGAGAGGGCAGGGGCCTGCTTCTCTCCACCACACCCAGTTCAGTTACCTTATCTTAGGAAAGTAAATCAATGTAAACACTAGTACCAACCCTGACTCTAAATCAAAGGTCGAGCCTACAGCGGGGCTGACCCAGGCTAGAAGGTGGCGCCGTGGGCAGGGAGTAGAGCTGAGCAGTGTACCAGAGCAGTCCCACTGTGGCTGGCAGTTACTACTCATCGCCCTACACTCGGTTCAGTGGCAAAGGCCTTACTCCCCAGCTTACAGATGAGGGCAGAGACTCAGAGAGCAGGAGAGCTTCTGGCTGGGGTGGTGTACATGGCATCCAGGTTTGCACAGACCCTGACCAGCGAGCTTCCAAAGCCCCTCTATATCCTACTAGCTCTGTGACGTCACAGTCTCTGTGACTGCGGTGCGGTTCTTCGTACTACAGAGATGAGAAAGCTGGAGCTTGCCGGGCTTTGGTGGCGCACACCTTTAATCCCAGCACTCGGGAGGCAGAGGCAGGCGGATCTCTGTGAGTTCGAGACCACCCTGGTCTACCAAGCGAGTTCCAGGACAGCCTCCAAAACAATACAGAGAAACCCTGTCTCGAAAAACAAAAAACAAAACAAAACAAAACAAAGAAAGCTGGAGCTCAGAGAGGACAAGGTACCCAACGAGGTCACACAGCAACTTTTAGCTACGGAAGACTGTCGAGGTGGCGAGGTGGGTAATGGTGGCTGCTGCCATCTTGACAAACTGAGTTTGATCCCTGGCATCTACGTGACAGGAGTAGAGAACTGACACCAGCATGCTGTCCTCCGACTTCAACATATCTAGGGACATGCATACGCACACACATATACACAGGGGCACACACACAATTATCTAGGGACATGCATACACACACATATACACAAGGGCACACACAATTATCCAATACAAGTGCTGCTGGGCAGTGGTGGTGCCCGCTTTTAATCCCAGCATTTGGGGGGAGGCAGAGACAAGTGGATCTCAGTGAGTTCAAGGCCAGCCTGGTCTACAGAGTGAGTTCCAGGACAGCCAGGGCTACACAGAGAAACCCTGTCTCGAAAAAGCAAAACAAAACAAAGAGTGTAACACATTTTTGGGCCTGGGCATGGTGGTGTACACCTTTAATCCCAACACTTGGGAGGCCAAGACAGGTGGATCTCTGAGTTTGAGGCCAGCCTTGTCTAAATAGAGACAGAGACAACTGGGGGAAGGGACTAAGCTAAGCTTTGGAGCTGGAGTCCCAAGCAAACAGCTGGGAGGCACGGGCACAGTTGGGATAGAGCCGTCACCTTTGCAGTCCCACAATTGCATTTCTCAGGCTCAAATGTTCCCAAGCCCTTGCTGCACCCAGTCCTACCCACCAGAGAGATCAGCAGGGCACACAGACCTCTCCATAGGCCCATACTCTATGTACACAAACCCTGTACCTGCTCCCTACCTTTTGGCACAGGGCCCTCCCTCGTCTTTGGGAAAGGAAAGGCTGAGACAGTGGGCTCTGTCTCCAGCATAGGGACAGGACCGGAGGAAGAGAGCCGAGCTACACAAAGGATGAGAGGCCAGGGCCTTCACCTCCAGGCGATGCAAGAGCAATGCTCTCTACTCCATGGCCATGATTTCACCCGCCGTCCCTAGTCCTCACCTTGGATGGCTGAAGTCCAGCTTCTTCCCCCGAGGCCTGTCCATTCTGGAAAAGAAACAGAACAAGGAACAGTGTCACAATTCACCTTTGGGGAGACAGATGCATCCGGGGACTCTCCATTCTTGGTTGTTTCCAATAGCAGAGCATGGGAGGCCGTAGAGAACAGCCATTTCTACATGGGTCCCCTCCACCTCTGCTTCACTGTGCAAGAATCAAGCTCTCTAGCAACAGCCCCTTCCAGGACTTAGAATACCCAACCTCCCGCCTCCCAAACACCCCATCATCTTCAGTCTCAACTCCAATAGTACCCCTTCCTAGGAAGAAGGAAGTGGCACACACAGCCATTCTCTGCCAAGGCAGATCGTGCAAAAGTTTGCAAACTAACCAACCATGAGAGGCCTCGGTTTCCCAATCCGGACCACTGGAATAGATATCCTAACTCCCCCAAGTTGCTATAAGGGTGGAAGAAGACAAAGTCGGGGCAGGTGTCCCCCCAGGTGGCTTCCCGGGCCCTGCCCGACTTTGAGAACCTTCAGCAGGGAAAGCGATGGCTGTACCTCCACAGCTTTGTGTTTCTCTACTGTATGCTGGTCACATACGGACTCACCCTTCCCCAGAGACAGGGAGTCCCAGGAGAGCAGATAGGAGTTCCTGCCACAAGCCAAGGCTGGCCTCACTGCTGTGGCACTGTTTAGTCTTTCTGACAGCCTGGGAGATAGGCCCTGGCTCAAGGAGCAGAAGGGACACCTGAAAAGTGGTGATTTGAAATGTGGCCCCAAATGTAGGCACTGCTAAGGAAAGGCCTGCTGTAGAGTGGCCTCTACCACGCCCAGGGAGCTACCTGCAGGGAGAGGCGGGCGCAAGGCCCACCTCTGAGCTACTCTGTTTCTTCTGGACTTTGCCCCAGATGAAAACTACCTATCTTGGTACCATCCCTAGTTTCTCTATTCCTGCATGCTATGAGGTTGGAAACCCAACTGAAGGAGCTGTCCCCACCCTTCCTGGCATGGAGTGAGTACAGTGAAATAGACAGGAAGCTCCCAAAGGCCGGGACTTTGGAGCCAAGAATCAGGTCCAGAGGGCAGCTTTGGCCTTGGCAGCAGTAGGTAAGCTATGTTCCACCTATTACATGTGATCCCTTTGCTCTGGAGTGACCGCCTCCTGCCTGCCAGGCCATCCTTCCTGCCCTGAGAACCTTAAATTCCCCTAATACTCCCCAAGAGCCAAGTGATACATGACATACACACTCACTTTGAGAAGGGACAGGGTGGTCAGGGCCTAGGGATAGGGCTAGTCAGATACAGTTGCTGAGTTCAGTTTACCCAGACTAGGTGTCACAGATGTCCCACCTACAATCACAAACAGCCTACCCACCAGCTCCTGCCCCAGCCCTCCAGAAGTACCCCACACACTCATCTTCCTCGACTTCACTCAACTCAGACTGTTCACTGAAAACTGCACGTCCTCCGTGACTGAGACTAAACTAGAATCAAGTCCCAGTTCTTCGGCATGAAACCCATGGCCAGCATCTTCAAATACCCAGCACAATGGCTTCTACCATTTATATGACCCTCGGCATGAAACCCATGGCCAGCATCTCCAAATACCCAGCACAATGGCTTCTACCATTTACATGACCCTGAGGAGGTCATTTTGCTTCTCAGAGCTCAGTCTCCACACCTGTAAAATGGGAGATAAAAATAATATATTTCATGGGCAGCTGCCACAGTCAATGAATCAAGCCCCAAAATACACACACCTGGCATGTGAGTGGCCCAAAGGAGCCACTGTAGACATTATTATTGTTATTACCACACCCAACTATCTTGTTCCTGTCCTTTTTTTTTTTTTGGTTCCTGTCTCATATACAATTATTTGTCTTCTGGTCCACTAAACAAGTAAGCCAGACAACATTTACCACAAGAATGTCTGTGCAAGTGGCCAGCTATGAAAACTCACACCACATTCACCAGAAGGGCACTCTTGACAAAGGTAACGAATTTTGACATTTTCGTCCACCTTACAACATTTCAGGGCAGGCGAAAGGAACCTTCTTTCTCAAGCTTTAAGCACACGGAATGCTGGACTGGCGAGATGGCTTGTCAGTTTAAGGTACTTGCCACCAACCCTGAAAACCTGAGTCCGATACCTGGCCTGCAGGGAAGGTGGAAGGAGAGAACTCACTTCACGAATGTGCACACGTGGGAGCGCCCGGGCATGCGCACTCGATAGCAAGTACCTAAGTCATCTTAAAGACGACCACTTCACGAGTTTGCGTGCCGTCCCTGCCCAGAGACCATGCTACTCTTCTGTGCACCGTTCCAGTATTGGGGTTTTTTGTTTGTTGGTTGGTTGTTTGGTTGGTTTTTTGAGACAGGGTTTCTCTGCATTGCCCTGGCTGTCCTGAACTCATTCTGTAGACCAGACTGGCCTCAAACTCAGAGATCCGCCTGCTTCTGCCTTCCAAGTGCTGGGATTCAAGGAATGCGCCACCACTGCCCAGCTCATTCCAGTTTTAGTACATATCCCGTCAAAGCAAGCGCTATTGGGCCCTCTTTGGGGCTTCCACTAAATGAGCCGACTCCCTGAGCATGACCGAGCATTTGCATGGTGACTTAACCTACCAAGAAAACCCTTTCTGATCTCCTCGGGCTGAATTCAAACCCTATTCCTCACAGCTTCTAATTCTTCCCTCTTTCCTGTGTACCCACAGCACTGAGCACACAGGGTAACTCAGGAGGCAGAGTGACTTGTCCTTCATCAGTTCCTTAGTACTGGGTCAGCGTCCAACATGAAAGGTGAAAGGTCAACCCAGCAAGGACAGCTAGGAGGCCACAGTAGGTTCTTGTTATCCCATTTTTCAGCCGAGCCTCAGCACTCAGGGATTTGTCATAGCTAGCAGGTGACAGCCATGGGATCATAACTCAAACTCATGTGTCTGCAAGCCTAAATCTCTGGTCAAGGAGAGAAGATATAGCAAGAAGCGTCAAGCATTTATTTATGTATCTGTTTGTTTTTAGCATAGCTCAGAAACCTCCCCTCCCTTGTTTGGCTAGGATCCTAGCCTAGGTATCATCTTCACGGACCATTTCTCTTAATAGTTGATACCCAAGGTCCCTAGAAGTGACTGGTCCTCAATAAGGGACTAAAAAGGCCACAGAAGACAGCAGAGAGCATCTGTCCTTTCGCTCTGACGGGTGGCGGGACAGTGGGAAGAACACGGCCATGTGACCACAAAGCCACAGCCATAGACTCAGCTCTTACTTAGGCCCTGCACCTGTCACGCCGCCTTCTGGAGCCTCAGTTTCTTTCTCTGTGCCACCACGACACATCCACCTTGTCAGCTGCACGCCATGGCTCAGAATACTGGATGAAGTCCTAAAAAGACTAGGGTGGGCTGGAGAGATGGCTCAGAGGTTAAGAGCACTGGTTGCTCTTCCAGAGGTCCTGAGTTCAAATCCTAGCACCCATGTAGAACAGCTCACAATCGCCTGTTGCTCCAGCTTCAGGGGATCCAATGTCCTCTTCTGGCTCCTACTGACACCAACACACACACACACACTCATGAAAATAACACAAATAAATCTTTAATAATAATTTTTAAAAAGGCCTAAGGGGAGGAGGTAGAGTATTTGTCTAGCATAAACAAGGCCATAGAAGAAAGGAAAGGGAAGGAAGGGGGTTGGGGAGCAACAGAACAGACCCCAGGACCAGGGCAAAAAGCCTGGGACTGGGAAGGCCCTTCGGACTCTTGGAGCACTCCTCTCTTCCTCAGGAGCACCACTTGTGAGGATGGACACCTGCTCAGAACCCCAGAGCACTGCACCTCTTCCTGGAGTAGGAGTCTGGTCCTAATAGACACGCCTCTTCCCACTTAAGGATCCAGAGAAGCTCCTGGAAAAGCCAGGAGCAGAACAGACGGAGAAAGACGGTACATGCCCCGCAGGCAGGAAGGAGCCCCAGGAACTGGGGTCTGAGCCCAGCATTGGCAGCCCTGTGCACTGCTGGAGCCTGGGGGCCAAGTGCCAGGACACCGCTAGGCCTCGGCCAAGGCTGGACAAGGGCCCTGCGCCTGAGAAGTGTGTGCCAACATCCGGAGCTGCTCTTGGAGTACCCGCCACCTGTGCCAGCCCATGCTCATCTTTTAGTCGCCTTTGCTTGGTAGGAAACGGCAAGAGCACTGAGTTCCAATCCTGCTCCACACGTTAATGCACAAGCCAGCATTTCCAAGCTCAGCTGTCCCCTCTGAAAACGGGAGTCATAATTTCTATCTTGAGAAGTTGTGAGGATTAAAGACACACAGCATCCATGGACAACTGACAGTGAAGCCCTGGCGGGATAGCACCTGGAGACAAGACTCTGCTGTTTTTGCCCAAACTGAGAAAAGCCCAGGCAGCACCCTCACCCATACTTCCAATTGGTTTATTCCACCTGGGCCCAGCAGCCCACTTTTGGTGAGAGCAATGGGAAGGCAGGGAAATTCAGATCCCAAACCTCTTTTGCCAAATGCTCCTGCCAGCCCCCTTACCTGCTTCCTTCCTGGCTAGAAGCTGCCCACAATGGCGACAGTACCTGCAGGTCAGGCACATGTATCGCTTACATGTCATCTGCTCTAAGAACAGCAAGGCCCTGTTCTCAAGTAAGAAAGCACACCCTCACTGCCCCATGGCTCCTGTTACCCAAACAATAGCACCCAGCCCACTGGCACCTCCATGGCCCGGGGGAGGGGACACCAGCAGCAGTACCCAGGGCTTTGCACCTTGTCAAGCCCAGGAAGCAGATTTAGAAGTGCATTTGTGGCACTGAAAAGAGAAGCCCAAGATAGCCTGAACATGGACTAAGGGCCACTCAGCATTTCTGAAGTAAAACTCATTGAGAAATCCTCTCCCCATCCCAGGAAATCCGACAGTCTCCTCTCCCCAAATTCAGGTACAACAGTGTTCAAATTAACATGTTTCCGGTTTAACCTGGCCCCTGATGGAGCTGGCTGTGGCCTCAGGATTTCCCAAAGGGAAGCAGGAAATGCTGCCCTGGAGGAGGCCAGAGTTCCTATATCTCTACCCTCACTGCTCCTGTAACACTGTGACTCTCCAGGCTAAGTCCCTCCCTAACCATGCCCAGCTCAGCTCTACCTTCCTCTGGAGGCCCAGGTGGCAGGGGCGTGCCCAGGCAAAGGAATACACCTCTGAGCCTTCCCGCAGGCCTGTGCCCAGTCCTGAGGTAGGGGGAAGGCAACAGGGGCTGCACAGGGCAGTGCTCCTCACCTACCAGGGTGAGTCAGCGAGAGAACCTCTGAGGGCTGTGTAGGGCCTGTAAAAACCCCATGGCAGGGATCCCAGAACAATTTACTCCAAATTGTGCCTTCAGGTTGGTTACCTAATCCAGCCGCGCCCACCCTCCAATAGCCAGTGTAGGCCATTCCTTTAAAGGGGCAGCATGCTCTGGGTGCCTGAACCTGGGGTCCCCACTGTGGATCCCTCTCTACCTGTGGCCCTGAGAGGCAGGATGGATGGTGACTGCCCTGAGGTCCCAAACATAGGTAAGGGTTCAAGCCAGGAGAAAAATCATCTAGGTCCTGGGGTCAAGGGAGGTCTCCATCTGTCTTCTGTACCCCTAACAGTTCCAGTTAAGGCAAAGTTTCAACCACCTCCTTCCAGCATGAGAGCAGGGCAAAGTCTTCAACTTGCTGGTTTAAGACTTGACCTTGGTCCCAGGGTCACAGGACAACACCAAAAGTGGCCTCCTACGTGCTCAGGGTTGGACCACAAAGCTCTGGAAGGACAGGAGCTGCTTCTGGGAGAGACTAGAAGGCAGAAGCCACACTGCTCACGGGCCAGCCTTTTCTACGGAAAAGGAAGAAGGAAGAGAGGAAGACGGATGCGGGGTCTCTTTTCCAGAGAATCTTCACAAGGTGTAAGGGCTCCCCCTCTTTTCAGCATAACCTGAAGGAGACCCGTGTGTCATTAGCATTAGGGCGAAGGAAACCAGGAGGTTCCCACTCCAGAGGTGGTATCATCTCACATTCCATAACAGCCATGGGTCCAGAAAGGCTACCTTCCTACGGTCAGAAGTGGAGGAACGAAGAGAGCTCTTGGAGAGAAGGAACGGGGAGAAACCGGATTCCCATAATCCTTGTCTCTAATAGAACCTCAGACATTTGACCCAAGCCTTTCCCTTCTGCAATGACTGGGGCAACTCCCATAGCTCCCAAAAGATGATAAGCGGGACGAGTCCTAGGGGTGCTCAGGGTGTCAAATCTGGACAGCCCCTGGGTTCCCTCTCCTGGCGACCGCAAGGAGGTACTGAGCGTCCCCAGCAGAACCGTCCCCTGCACACGCACACCCGGAGCACAGGGGGGTGGAGCCGGACAGTGGGCTAGAGACCAGAGGGCACTCGCGTCCTCGCGGGGCTGCAGAGACGCGGGCCGCCCCGCCCCTGTGCGGATCCGGGCTGGCCGGCCGCCGGCGCCTGTCCCCCGCCCCTCTCACTCACCTCCGGGTCCAGTGGCACCAGCTCCATGAGCGGCCAGGGCTCCTTGAGCTGGGCGAGCGGCATCGCGCCGCCGCCGAACCGCTCGCGCTCCACCCGGCGGCCCCGGGCTGCGCTGCCTCCGGGCCCCGGGGTCCCTGCCGCTGCACTGAGACCCCCGCGCGTCCCCGAGCCCCTCGCGCTCTGGCTGGGCCGTCCGCCGCCGCCGCGGCACTCGCACTTCGGCTCCCTCCGTCACCCGGCGCCGCCGCGCCCATTGGCTACCTGCGCGGGGGCGGGGCTTGGCTAGCCCCGCCCAGTCCCCACGGCGCGGCATTCCCGGCGCGGACCCCCGCCCCCAACGCCCTGGGAGTCGGCCCCGCCTCCACACGAGCCCCTGACCCACTCTCGGCCCTGCCCACCCAAGAGTCTGCGGGTTTCTTCTTCCCGGGCTGCGTGTCCCTGCGCAGACACCGCCCGGGCCACCGTTGTCCTGTTCCTGCAGCATTTGGAATCTTCTCCCTCGAGCGGGAGGGGCTGCCACCCTACAAGGGATGTCCTGGGCCTGATCCAGACAGAGGCTTGAAAGGATCCTGGGCCGTGTGTCTTCAGGCTCTCTGGTCACCCTAGGATCGCCTCCCTCCGAAAGCTTCTGCACGGCAGGGAGCCCACCTGGGGCCTCTTATGTGATCCCCATGTCTCAAGCCGGCCAGCGCCAGGACCCACAGCGCCCCCAGGGTGATTTCCTAATACGCATTTTTTCCCCCAGTCTGTGTTGTACCCTATCACTTGAGGGCGCTGGTTTCAGGCCAGGTCCAGCGTCTCTTCCGCACCAGGCCGGATGGTGGTCTGGTTTGAACTTGAAGCCCCGTGAAGAGGGCAAAGTCTAGGCCCGGTGGGATCAGGATTCCCTCTGGCAGGATTTGGCCTGCACCTAAAGAGGTCGTAGGGCCCAGGTGTAGTGAGACTTAGTCTCAGGTGAGAGCCCAAGGACAAGCTGGCTAGTTCATTAAAAGCCTCCTGCTGAGTGTGTGTGTGTGTGTGTGTGTGTGTGTGTGTGTGTGTGTGTGAGTGTGTCCTTGCTTGCTTGGTTCTAGGTGTGGGTGCCAGGCTTTGCACACTAAGTTGCATTTGGTATAGACCTATACCTCCAGGTGGCTTGTGATTCTCTTGAGAACTCACTACCCCCTACTAGACACTCAGAAAGATGAAGTGATTTATTCAAAGTCACACAGGATCGGGGGCACATTCGTGCTTAGAAGGCTGTGGGATGGACTTGCGAGACGGCTCAGTGGGTAAAGGAGCTTGCCTGCAGGACCGATGCCGTGGGTGACTCCCAGGCCCCAGATGGTGGAAGGACAGAACCAACACCCACAAGTTGTCCTGACCTAACCGTGCTGGAGCACAAGGACAACTTCCCCCCAATAAATTTACATGCAGTAACAGTTTTAAGTAGGGTGTAATGGTGCATGCCTTTAATTCTAGCATTAGGAAGGCAAGAGGAGGAGAGCTACATATTGATACTCTGTTTCTAAAAATACTAAGTAAATAAATGAAAAAATAGAAATAAATTTAATTCAGGAGACTGGGGCCAGGTGATTGTGACTTTGAGGCCAGCTTTGGCGGCATAATGATGATGTTGTTGGGGGGGGGGTTAAATTGAAGAAGAAATAGAAACAGAGCCAGGCAGTGGTGGTGTAAGCCTTTAGTCCCAGCTGTAGGGAGGCAGAGGCAGGAGGATCTCTGTATGTTTGAGGCCAGCCTGGTCTACAGATCAAGTTCCAGGACAGCCTCCAAAGCCACAGAAAAACCCTGTCTCGGGAAAAAAACAACAACAACAAAAAAGAGAAAGAAATAGAAACATGATGGCCATGCAGTGAACACTTGTAATCTCATTACTGAGGTGGCTGGGACAGGATCTCTGGAGCTCTTTGTCCAGTCAGCTTAGCCCCAGGTCCAGTGAGAGACCCACACAATAGATAAACAAACAAAAAGATAAAGACATGGGTTGTCAGCCTGCTGCCTACACATACACGGGCACAACATCCACACCCATACCCACATGTAGCACGCCCATATACGTACGCATGCAAAGTAGACACTGATTTCTCCCAAATCTCCATGTTCCCTGTATCCCATGCCTTCCCTTGGTGGTTGGTATTCAAATCAACCTGATGAGACAGGGGCTATTCTACCCACTATAGCAGATGAGGACATTGGGGACAGCTTGGTGCCAGATGGCAGCAATTGTGAACATCAGTGTCAGCATGGTCGAGCAGTTTGTGGTGCTCCAGCCCTGACTGCTCACAGCCGGAATTCAGATACTTGATTAAGTTATTACCTGTCATTTATCTGAAACCCAAATTGAACTAAAGATCCTGGATTCTGACTTGCTCAATCTTGTGACAAATGTCACAGACTTAAGTGACACTTAGGGAGGAAGACACACTGGGAACCACAGCGTGCTGTGGAGGACCGGGCAAAGGTGGAGGGCAATGGGGCTACAGCAAAGGAGGGGAAGCTACACTGGTCCTGCCTCAGTCTCCCTCCTCCCTTCCTGTCTCAGGACTCTTCCCCTCACTTAAGGGCTGAGTCCCTGATTACCTTTTCGGCTTAAAGTTTGTCTGGTCTACATAACAAGTTCAAGGCCAACCAGAGCTACACAGTGAGACCCTGCCTCAAAAAACAAACAAAAACCCAGAAAACAAAGCAAAACAAAAAAAAACCCTCAGCATCAACAACAACAACAAACCAAATATTGTGCAGGGGAGCTCCTCAAGCAAGAGGTAAACCACTACAAAAGGACATCAGGAAGTCCCTGAAACTGACCAGATTCACTGGGCAGCTCCCTGCTAGAGTCAGCAGCAAAAACCGAGGGGAAAAAAAAAAAGCTGAGCTGCAAAAAAGAGACCAGAAGCTGCCTGCAGAAACAGGCCTCGCTGCCAAGAAGAGGTTTAGACCAACTGAGGTCCCTGGAAAGGACACTCTTCAACCTGTTGAGCTGCTTACAGGCTACAGTGTGCTCCACTGTCATCCCTGCTAGGGTGGACCTTGGTGATTCAATTGTCTTTGAGTCATTTCTGCTCCTGTAAGTATCCCCAGTAAAGCTCGTGGCTCCCCAAGTTAGACTTTGGTGGTATCTATTATACTTTAGTCCATTGTGGGTTCCTGATCTAGGGTGAATAGACGGTATGTTTTCCTTCCCCAGGAAAAGTTTTGTGGCACAACAGAATTGACACCCAAATAGGCACCTGACCAAAGCAAAGATGAGTTGGGGAGGAGTTAGTGCATGGTCCTGGCTATAGACAGCAGAGCTTGCAGCTGAGGTCAAGCAGCCTGACAGGGAAGCATGGAAGAGGAAATTCCAATGGTTGCCTTCCCTGTACGGCGTGTGGGTGTGCCTGTGTGCTGTGACAGCAGTTGCATGGTTCTTGCTATGGGTAGTGAGATGTGGCAACTAAATTAGATAAACAAGATGATGAGAGAGAGATGGTAAAAGCAATTAAAAGATACCCATCAAGTCCACTCTTTATTAGAAAAAAGAGTGAAATCTGTAATCCTGCATGCAGAGGGGGCCATTAGCCATGATCTGTGCAAGAAACTAGTGTGAACATGAAATATTCAGCCTTTAAGCTTCTGGAATTAGGGAAGACTTATCCAAGTTGTGAAGTTGTCTATCCCTGTCATAACATGGCTTGTGAAACTTTGGGACATGAGAGTGGATGGGACCAATGTGGTTGTGGTGGAGGTAGGGAAACCAAGTCATCTAACTACCCATCCCTCCTTAAGGCCAAAGCTGTGTAACCTGAGGCAGTGTGAGGGAAATCAGTCCCTGACAGAATGACCGACTTATCAAAGCCATTAGGAACGCTTGGCTATCTCCGTCTGAGGTCCCCATAAATATCAGGAACTGGAGGACCATGGGGTGGGGGGAGATGCTATTGAGGGACATAGGAATAAGGGAGGCTGTGTTTAGACTGGGAAGTGGTGGTGCACGCTCAGGAGGCAGAGGCAGGTGGATCTCTGAGTTTGAGGCCAGCCTGGTCTACACAGTGAGTTCCAGGACAGCCAGAGCTACACAGAGAAACCTTGTCTTGAACCACACCCTCCCCCCTCAAAAAAGAAAAAGAAGCAGTGTTGGAATCTCAGATCACTGGGCCAGATAGCAGGATATCCACTGAGGAGTTAAAAAAAAGGTTGATTCAGCAGAGACCTCAAGGCTGGTATGGACATTCAGTGTCTTTGGTGTGTCCATACCTTTATAAAGTAGGGAAGGCTTCGGCTGATCTCAGTCACTTAGACCAGCATGCAAGAGAGTCCTGTAGGGTTGGAGAATGCTACCTAGGGAATGAGGAAAAAGTTAAGCCAAGGAAGAGGTCTGTCTGGGTTACTGGAAGACAAATATGGCAAGATTTTTGTTGAGCTGGAGTTCCCGAGGAAAAAAAGTGGTAGAAAACCAAACTGTGTGCCTAGGAGCTCTGGAAGGCTTTAAAGCCTGGAGAGTTCATAGAAGACAGCTGTGGCAGAACAGTACAAGAGAGGATGGTCAGACCCATCCCAGGGGTGATATTACCCCCCCAGACTAAGAAGGGTACATTCCCCTCCCAGGGGTGGTAATATCCCCAGACTAAGTGGGATACATTCCCCTCCCAGGGGTGGTAATATCCCCAGACTAAGTGGAGTACATTAAGTAGGGTACATTTCCCTTCAGCAAAAGGTTATACAAGAGGTGAAGGTGCTTTGCCTAGTCAGAGACTCCCCCAACAACCATTGTTGGTGGATGGAGAGGCAACAGCTACATCCACAGTGCCAACCCATGGCAACTCTGACCCAAGGAATCATCAGGTGTAGCTGGGGAGAGCAGGGTCTTGTTCCCTCTCAGCCCTAAGTCTGAACAAGTGAAGTGAAGCCCACTTTATCCAGAGGTTTTCCATCAGGACCACTGGTCAGCTCTGTTCTGCCAGCCAGCTCCCAAATAACCAGACAGAGACCTATTATTAATTATAAGTGTTTGGCCAATAGCTTAGGCTTGTTACTAACTAGCTCTTAAATCTTTAATTAACCTATATTTTTGTTGTTGTTGTTTTTTCGAGACAAGGTTTTTCTGTGTTGTTTTGGAGCCTGTCCTGGAACTCTCACTCTGTAGACCAGGCTGGTCTTGAACTCACAGAGATCAGCCTGCCTCTGCTTCCCAAGTGCTGGGATTAAAG